TTGTAACCGCCTAGTAAAAACAAATAGGGGGGGGGGGGGCGGTGTATGTTTATACAGCATAGAACTTGGTCTGCCTCAACGGGCGACGAGTCTCCCAGCTGTAGATGAGCATACAACCGCTAGCCTGGGGTCTTTAACGTGCATCACGCAGTAGGGATACACGACCGCCCCCCGGTACGATGCTCATCCAGATCGAAACGGGCAGGGCTGGGGAATTGAACCCAGGATCACTGGGTCCTGGAGTTGAACCCAAGATCCCCCCCCCCCACACACACACACGCACACAGATTTTCCAGTCTGCCATCTGTGCAAAGAGCACGAAAGACCTTCCTGGTTTAAATAACTCATCACTCCGCGCATGGGTAAGCGAAATACGATTAAAGGGACCATGAAATGATTTTAAAATCGAATTTCATCCACCGCACGTCGTAAAAGGTGTAAAAAGAAACACAAAAACACAAAACTAGGGAGCCAAAAATAATTATTTGCTATAGAACTTTTAAAAGAAAACTGGACTCTTTTGCGACTTCTTTCCTTCGAAAGCTCTGCCTTTTCACTACGATGCTTACGCAGAAACGGTGCACGTCAGCCGAATCCACATCGCCTATTGGGTAAGAGCCTACCTCACCAGCACCGCGATCGTAAATAATAAATAGCCGGCGAATGTTTCCTAAAAGTTTTGTTAAATAATATTCAGATCCACATTTTGTAGCATAATTAGAGATGTGTGGCGAAAATTGCCAAATTTGATAATGCTGAGAGCCAAGCGCCATCTATCGTGTGGTAAACGAAGCAACTACTGCGCGTGCGCAGTAGGGCAGGGCCAAGTTCAGAACGGTTATTTCCTTTGGTTTCCTTCCTCTGAAAACTCTGACTGACTGAACGTTTATTTTTCTACGTGTTCATCTCGCGCGTGCCGACTTCAAGCAGCAAGAAAGAAATGTACTTAAAACAAACCACGACGAACAAGAAAGCTGGATCCACAAACACCCGAGAAGAGCGACAACAGCCGCGAATCCCGCTCCGACGAAGCTCTCAGAATATAGGCCTAGCAGGCACTCCGACTCGGCGCAGCGTTGCTTCGTCGCAAGACCGTCTGCCTACGACCGGCTGGCGTACTGAATGGAATATGCCCGCGCTACCCTTGTGGACCCTTCCGTATTATAGTTTGATCGCTGACCTCAATTTTAGGTTAAGAGGTGAGGTCAATCTCTTCCCCTTGTTTTCCGAGGCAGTGTTGACGAACACTCGTCGAAAAGGGACCCTCGTCGATCCTCTCCTTGTTTTGTGTGATATAGAGCTGAAATAAACGCTGTATGGATTACCTTCGTAGCACGGTATGTACACTTGGTTATTGGTATGCCATTTTTATTCTGACAGACTGCACGTCACTGTCGAGCTGTAACAGTTCGTGGGAGGTATACGTGCAATACCGGTCCAACCTTTCTTTGCCGAGTGTCGCGTCAGTATCGAGTTGCAATTGTAAAAGATCGGTCCCGAAGCGCTTACCAACAGCGCGAATACAGCACTTCATCAAACGCGCGCGTCCGCTCCGAGTGTGAACAGGTATTTACGTGGCTCTTGCTGACAGTTCAAACGTATCTTTTTTTAACGTCGGCTCGCTCCTGCATCTCCGAGACCGCGAAAAACGCCGCGGCAAATTGTTCCCATCTGCACTTCCCAACAGGCATACCGGCGTATGGGACTAGTCCCATGCTGTCGCTGTAGCGCAACGTATCTCATTGAATTTCGCTCAGCTGCGATGCGGCGATGAGAGGCGCCGATTCAGAAAATACGTCGGTGACATCGGCGCAGTAAAACCCACCGGCGCACCCCAACTCGCTAACGCTCCCATCTCCTACTGCAGAGAGAACTTCCGGTTCCGGAAACATCGTACGTCACGGCTTGTTTTGCGGTCAAGAAAAAGTCGATATTTCATTAATTTTTTGTGTAGAAGTTAATAAACCGAGACGAAAACGGATGCCTGTTCGGCATTCAGTGAACATTGACGGTTTATTGTAAAAGTTATCTGGAAAAAGTAAAGAAGTCATTTCATGGTCCCTTTAAGCTCTTTAACCGCCCCTGCTGCGTACACGCTGCAAAAGACTATTCTGGGAAGGTGGAAGAGGGACGTTCGTAACAAATGTTTCCAGATGGCGGCCCCACTTCGTAGACATATCGAACGAGCGCGTCTTTCTCGGGTGCCCGCCGAGCTCTTCCACAAAGTGGGCAGTGATAGAAAATCTGAAAGAGTTCCCAAATGGTTTAACCGGAAAGCTTTCCGCGGAGATGAGAAGAGGGTATGACGATAATTCAATAAATGCAAAGCTGCGAGCGAGCTGGACAAGAATAACCATTATAATGCCTGGAGTAGGGGGACAAAGAACAAACAGAAACCTCCAAACAAAACTAAATAACTCGTGCGCACGAAAAAAAAGATCCGTTTGGTCTTGGTATCGAACGAGGGACCTCTCCATTTTCACCCACCTCTACGAAGGAGGGTTGAAGCAGCATCACACAATACTCAAACCTTGTGCACTGAAATTTCGACGTCACCACAGTGAGATTCAGTGAAGACACGGATCGGAAACGAGTGCTGCGTCATCTTTCGGCTGGCTGTCGGATCCAATCAACGCTCCGAGGGATCCGACTTTCATGACGTTTCGTGAACAAGGAGGAGGTCGTTCGCGAGCCTCGGTTAACCTGGCTCAGGGCATTCGGCTTTTGCCGTGCATGGTTCGTGTTTGAGTGAAACTGAGGTTCTTCAGCTGGTTGCGGTAGCCTGCCACTTAACGGTACCCACATCACGGGCCCTATTTATTATAATAATTGTTCCGAAACAGCCGTATTTGGCTGAAAGGCTCCACGTCCTTTCCTCGAGTCCTTTTCGTGGTGTGGCTAGTAGGGTGTCCTTGCAGAGTCTGCTTCCATCCTTCTTTGCCGCGATCGAAAAAAGCGTTCGCGGAAGAAACAAACCGGATGGGGCTGCGTTCAGTGAGGACAGCTCCTGTACCCGTCCGTGAGCGATCGCGAAGAGCACCCTCCCTGGGGACCTTGACTTTGAGGCGCGCGTTCATGTTCAAGGCCTCGCGTGCGGCCTCCCTGGAAGGCCTTCGACGGCTGCGTCCTGTACGCCCGCCACTCGTAAACGCCTCTCGTTGTTCTCAAACCCCGAGTGCCGCCGTTGTTTCGAGCGCGCGTCTCTTTTGGCGGACGGAAATGACGTCTTCCGATTGCAGCCTGTCGTTTCCGCCCGCCCTTTTAAATTCACGAAGAATTGTTGCGATTGCGCTCGGAAACGGCTCGTAACGAATGCCACCGAATTTTTTCCTCTTGATGGACGCTTTACAGTCGTTTTAAGGCGGCTGAATTCGGCTGAAAAACGACATTTCCGTCTGCCAAAAAAACAGATGCAGGCTAACAATATGGTGACAGGGCTGTCTGTGAGCAGGGCCATTAGCTGCATTTTTCGACGCTTCATCACCGGGGTTTTAGTTTAGTCGACGATCAAAATTCGCTGTCGGTCGCGCTGGTGGTACCAGGTGAACAAAAAGCCAACATTGCTCACCGACTCGAGAAAAGCAGCTTAGCAGCGACTGGAGGAATCTTCTGAAGTCCAGTCTGGTCACAGTGTTCATTTTCACTATCTTGGTACGATTAAAAAGATGAAAGCCGTTTACAACTCCGTGTAACGCCGAACTAGAGCGCAGCTCTTGAGGAGGAGGAGGGGACGGTACTGAGGGGGGGGGGGGGTCATGTGACCTCGGGGGGTGGGGTGGGGGGAGGGGTCACCTGACCTCGGGGAGGGGGGTCACGTGACCTCGGGACTTCGGCAGGATCCATGCAACGCGGGCTGCATGCAACTTGTACTAAATGCAAGCTGGGTTGCGTGGTTACGCCGACGCCGACGGGCTGCATGCAACCCGGGTTGCATGCAACTTAGACTAAATGCAACCTAGGTTGCATACAACGTGTGGTTACGCCGACGCCGACGGCGACGCCGCTCATGCCGGAAACGGGAGCCTAAGAGCTGCGCTCTAAAATAGAGCGTTGCGCAGTGTTCCTGGTATGTGTTCAATCAGTTTTTGAATCGTTTGATTGCATCTTATACAAAAAAAATAAAAACGAAGGAAGGCGTAGTTCGTTCGCCGTCTGGTGCTCACAGAAGTGTCAATTAAGTATCTCTTTAAATTTGAACCGGCATTGTTTTATGGTACAAATTTATCAAGATGATTTTCTAAGAAGTCTATCAAGAAGTCAAGTATTGAAGAAGTGCTAGAAAGATGTCATATTTTTCGTCCATAATGTGCGAAGGAACGAAAGCGATAGCTGTATACAGGGCCGCGCAATGCGGGTGAAATGGTGCGTTGATGTACCGAAGGACGGAACTGCGACGTGGTTAATACTTTTAGCCGCCGTGGTTGGCGTGGTGGATGTCACTAAAAACCGCCACCAGTGCTTGGTGATCCGTAAAGCAAGTAGATAAGCGCGATGGTAGTTTCTAAAACCACCCAGCATTACGCGTAGCGCCTGGATACAGCCAAAGTGGGATTTCGCATAACGCGAGTAATGTTTGAAAACAAGTCTTTCAAGCATACGACGCCGAAGGCACTTCTTTCGTCGCATCGTTATTGGCGGGATGCCGGGGCGGCCGACGGGGGGAAACCCCGACTTCCCTGGCCTCGCGCCAAGAGCGGAGAAGGTTTTTTTTTTTTTTTCGTAGCGGCGACGACAAGAGACGAGTTCGAAATCTCTGCAGTGTCGCCCGTAAAGCTGTCGCCTTAAAAAGGCAGTCAGCTGAAGTGCATGGCACCTCTTCCCGGCTGTTCCTTCTCTCAACAACCAAAACTAAGTAGTACGAAGACTACAAGTACCTAGTTCGTGGAATGTACTTGAACTAGCCCTTTAAATATAAATTACATTAAGCACTGCGCAACGCTCACTCTGACCCGCCGGCTTCCCTGTTATGTACTAAACTTGCTCGCTTGTTTCTTCCTCAGGAGCCGAGCTGTTCTTGGGTCGTCAGGTGCCGGCGGCCAACGGCACCCGGCAAGCCGTTATGCCGCGGCCCTACCTCCAAAACAAGTCCAGGAGCCTGCCCTCGCGGCAGCCCTTAGAGCCGAGGGCTTTGTTCGCCTTCCTACGTCGTGAGGAGTCCGAAGCCAGGCGCAAGAACGGCCACGATAGCTCCGTCGACGAGAGCTCCCTCAGTTCGGACACGTCTTGCTCATCCCTCGAGTACCATCGCCCTCAAAGCGCTGGCGTTGAATTGCCCAGGACGTCCCTACGGTCAAGTCCAGTTAGATCTGACGAGGCTAGAAGACCCGGAGCCTTTCCTCCTTCCAAGGGTTCGACGGAAAGCCTGTCGCGTCGTGAGCGACTTCAGGCGGCTAAGGCCAGGGTAGAGGCTCAACGGAGTAAGTACGGCGGAAGTTCTTCGGAAGAAGACGAGGACGACGGGAACAAGCCGACGGACGTCAACAAGAACCGGAAAAGGTCCAGAGACGTTCCTGTGTTCACTCGTCTTGGTCCGGTCTGGCAAGAAAGCAAGGCTTACCAAGATCCTACCATGGTACGGCGAGGCAGTCCAGGGGTGCCCCTGAGCGTGAGTACCACGTTCCAGGGACCTACGGGCCCCGTTCAGCCGTCTCCTCAAGACTCCGGTGTGAGCTCCCAGTCGGTGGCGTCCAGCCCCAGTCTGGGCAGGGCCCCAACGCCACCTCCCAGGAGGTGCCAGTCTAGAGCACTGCTCAGGGAAAGTCCCCTCCTGGCGCCCAAGCCAAGAAGACACTCCGCCTCTTTCGAATTGTGTAGACTGGACGACTCCGGTTTCGGATCCGAACGGAGGGAGAGCTTCTACAACTACGGGGGTGTGCCTCCCGCGCACGATATCAAGTCTCGGGCACGTGGTCCTGCTTATTATTCGTACACGGACCAGGCTCCCGTGCACCAGGACTCGTCGGGGGCCTACATGAGCGACCCCCAGAGGCCGGACGGCAGGTTCGTGGGGCTGGCACCCAGACATCGGAGGGCTTCCATATCAGCGGAGGTCCTCGACCTCGCGCCCAAGTCGGACATGCCGCCACGGAGGCCCCGTCCCCTGTCGATGGTCATGGAGAAGACGAGAGACGTCCCGCCACCGGTGCCCCGACACAAGCCGCAGATGGGTGGAACCACGAACAGCCTGGAAGTTGCCAGGCGTCGTCTGGACGACGTCATGCAGCGAGAGAGGGAGCGACGTTCCTCTGCCAACTTGGAAACGGCCCTGAACGAACTAGAGGAGATCTACCAGAGTCTCCGACTCAACGAAGACGAAGACCTCCTCTTCAGGGCCGAACGACGGGACCTGCCGACCAAGTTTCAGCTGAGTCGTCCCGATTCGAACACTACCTTCGTCGAGCCGACATACCCGCTCAAACGGAGCTGCAGCGACGACATATCCGCCATGTCTGGTCACCAGCCCCGACAGAGAGCACCCTCGTTTCGCCGGTCCGCCGTTCCCGACAAGCTGACAGACGACCTGGCGTACCGTCGTCTCGTTCAGCAACCTCAGCCACCCCAGCGAAACGGCGCACGCACACCCACCCCTCGCAAGGACGCCAGCTACCTTCTCTACTCCCCAGCGTTTACACCTAGTCTTCAAGTGGATCCGGCTCTCCTCGACTTCACGCTGTCCAAGGAACCCGACATAGAAAAGGACGACATGTCCTACAGAAACTACACCCAAGCCGATGCGATCCGCGTGCCGGCTCCACAGCCGCCGTTTGGCATCCCGTTGCTACCAACTCAGGGTACATCGTGCGACTACTTGAGGGCCAGGCCCAGTGACACACAGAGACCTCTTACCAGGCCCAAGGTGCATCCGGACCTGGTTAGGGACGACATGGCCTTCCGGAACTTGCGCAAGGATCCCGCCGTGTCGCTCGCCTCAAGACGGCCCACGCTGTTTGTAAACATCAATTCGGACCCGTCCGAGAAGCGGGACAAGTCTCAAAGTATGACGAGCGTCATGGAAGCCCTGCACAGGGAGTCGCAGCGCTGGAAGCGGCTCGACGAAAGTGTTCAGAGTCCTCAGTCTGGACCGTCTTCGGCTACCAGCCTGAGGTCTTCCGGCCCGAACTGGGGACTGGCAAGGCAGCGTGGCAGGATCGTGCCCATGGAAGACTCACATCTGGACTCGCTGCTAGCGTCTTTGACGCCGCCGCCGGTTGGTCCAGGTGAGCGGCTGCGGGCGGGGGTTCGAGTCCCGGCATGACTTCTCGCCTGCGGGCCTTCCTAACGCTCGAGTTGCTTGAAGACGCCCCCTAACCATGACCTCCGGCTACACAACTGCCCCTGAGTGTGCTCGTGTAGTGCGTGACCCTACCGTGCTGTGCTGTGCGGGTGTGAGTGCGCGTGCATAGTGCCTTCTTAACTGCCCACTGACAAGCATTGACTTTCTGACCGTGCGTGCTGTGAGCTGGTTGGGTTCGAACTAGATATGTGTGTGTGTCTGTGTACGCTGTTTGTCGTTTCATTTGTGTGCGCTTCAACTGGGATTCTTATTTCTTTTCTTATATAACGAAGGACAAAGAAAGAAAGAAAAAACAGCCGTTTCGGTTTGTGTCTTTTCTGTTGAGAGTTTGATTTTCTTTTCGATCTTCAGAAACTATTTTATTCTTCAATGTCTGTCGTTTCTTGCAGTTTTTTTTTATTTTATTTTATTTTATTTGAGGATAGATTATTCCCGTGTAAGCTGTTCAAACAACCGAAGTGCATAGTCTATCGTGAAAGAAGCGAGGTCATCGCATTTTTTACTTGTGTACACCTGTGTGCAATATTAGCATCGACAGTTATCTCGTCACAGTTCTACGGAGATTTACAATATATACATGCACTGTTTGAGTTTGAAGGCTAAAATACCAAAGCTAGAAGAAAGTATTGTTTATAAAGTTGCGGAAGTACTTCTTTACGGAGACGGTCCTATGATGGTCATAAAATATTGAGCACAGATGGTACGCGATTTCACAAAGTCTGATGCTTATAGTAGGTATATGACATCGCTCCATCATATTTGAACCCCCATGCATGGAAACCCCAGTGTCTTCGAAGACAGTTGTACGTTTTCATCATCTTGTGCCTCGGGGCTTTAGTGTGATCACTTTACACCAGCTAGCTTGCGCCCTAACCCTTCTGTCGCTTTAATACCACTCGTATAAATGTAGAAAAGTACAGCCTCTGAGTTGCCTTTGTTATCCTGGACTGCGGGCGTCACCACAGACGGTAACAACTGTAGTGCTAGTCCTAACACTGGCGAAAGCCGCACTGAAACTTCCAGTGTCCCTCTAACGAATGGCTACATTGTGGCGTGCCAATTAATTCAGGGGTTTGATGTACCTGCGACACTGTGAGCCCGACAACTTGACAATGCGCATGCATGTGATACCGACTTGAAAGTGGTAGAGCTGACTGTCCGACCCGCCCGGTTTGAACCAAACAGAAACAAAAAAAGCATACCGATATCACACTAAGAGATAAGGAACTGTCTAAATCGGGACAACAAAACTCTCATATGACCAACAGCACATTTTGTGGGTGTCGGAGCAGGCGCGAAAGTTGGTGAAACTGATATGCTGCCATATTTGCCGTCTACTACGGGAAGGCGGCCTTCGATGTTTGTCGTCTCTGTTTAACAAGTGCTGATTGTTGGGCGAGTTGTATATTGTACATGAGAAAGCATGATTGCACTTTAAGACAATGACAGAGGAAGAACAGACACCACAGAGCGTTAACTTTCAACCGATTTAATTCAAGAGCCTCAGCGTAGATACACACTGCGTCACCGAACCACACCTCAACCAATCCGTGGCCCCGCCACGGACCGCAAGTATACACTAACTCTTTCTCCGCCAGGTCAATTGAACACACAGTGTGGCTTCAATTGACTTGGCGGGGCACAGATTGTTTGAGATGTGGTGCGGTGACGTGGTGTGTATCTACGCTGAGGCTCTTGAATTAAATCAGTTGAAAGTTAACGCTTTGTGATGTCTGTTCTTCCTCTGTCCTTGTCTTAAAGCGCAATCATGTTTTTTCACGTCTCTGTTTGGACAACTCCTTTACTGCGTGCCGCCGTGCCTCACACATTCATGTTTTCTGTGATAACAAACCTATCGCCGTGTTCACCAAAGCTTGCTACGAATAGGTGAAAAAATGAAAGCCGTTTACAAATCCCTGTAACGCCGAATTGGAGCGCAGCTCTTGAGGAGGAGTAGGGAAGGGTACTGAGGGGGGTCACGTCACCTGCGGGTAGTCACGTGACCTCGGGGGGGGGGGGGGGGGGGGGGTCACGTGACCTCGGGGGGTCACCTGATCTCGGGGGACGTCACGTGACCTCGGGGGGGTCACGTGACCCCCCCCCCCCCCCCGGTTACGCCGACGCCGACGGCGACGCCGCTCAGGCTAGAAACGGGCCCCTAAGAGCTGCGCTCTAAAAGTAATTCTATAGCATTCGTTCTCGGTTAGAGTTACTGGACGTTCCCAGAGTGCAGACAAATCCAAGCTCCGGTTCAGAACCGCTATACCAGGCGCCACAAGTGAGGGCTTTCTTAAAGCGCCGGCGTGGCGCGAACCGTTGCCCGATTCAAATGATTTATGTGAATGCATCCATCCATTCACTCGTAAGAATGAGGTCTCTGTGCAAGCGAAATCATTCGGGGAAGCAAAGAGAGGGCCCTCGTGGACTGGAGTAAGAACTGCTTAATGTAGAAAGGCCTAATAAACATGAAGATGAAGGAAATCAATCAACCAGCAAGTTCGATTGGCTATCCAGTTCCGGCGGATGATATGAAAGGCGCTTCTGGAACATTCAGTTACTCTTATCCTTGGTTACGAACCGCCAGCGCAGACGTGAAAGGCGATGGCCCGTGCCGTTCGAGTTGGTCATATATTGTGGCGAGAAAAACGCCGTATTTAGGCTTTTATTTTGACCGGATTTATTCTGCGGAGTCTATGCAAGAACCGCTTGACGGGATTTGCAATATTTGTGTGTCGAGAGTGGGTCTTTACAATATACAAATAAAATATTGATACTGCGTGTCTTTTGTGCAAAACCAAACGTGTTGGTTCCGACTGTGATGCGACGCATGCCGTATCATAGACAACAACGTGTCTCCAAGTGGATTTGGATGCGTTAGCGCGACTTCATTTTGTGGTGATTTTTACTCGGTGACGGCACAACTGCATGATGCTTCTGATCCCTGGAATCGTGGCAGGGTCACAGTATACCGGAGGTAGAACTACAGCGAGGGTCAGATGCATTTAACACACACTCGAAATAAATCTCAAAAAGTGAAAGCCGTTTACAACTCTCTGTGACGCCAAATTGGAGCGCAGCTCTTGAGGAGGAGGGAAGTGTACTGAGCGGAGGGTAGACCCCTCCTCTTCCTTCTCCTCCTCCTCCCCACATTCTTTAATATGCTCCAGGGGGGTCACGTGACCTCGGTGGGAGGGGGGTCACGTGACCTTGATGGGTCACGTGACCTTGAGGTGACCTTGGGAGGGGTCACGTGACCCACCTGGGGGGTCACATGACCTTGGGGTGACCTTTGGAGGGGTCACGTGACCTTGGGGTGACTTTGGTTACGCCGACGCCGCTCAAGCCGGAAACGGGCGCCTAAGAGCTGCACTCTAAAATCAGTTTCGCAGGCTCTGACACTGACATTTACCACAAAACGTATGGCTAGCTGGGGCAGTGGAAGCATGATGAGTCAAAGCATAGCCTCCTCTACACTAACAAAGCCTGGCAGTTCGACTATAGAGCCATAGAGTGCCCGGTCGCAGATTTGAAACGCGAGTATCTGGTAGCAGAGATCATTTCTCTGGGAAGATGGTATTCAGCGCACAGCTTTTGCAGCGGCGAGGACCCGAAACATGGTTTTCAAACCGGACGAGAAAAGAAGCGGCAGCGCGAGGAACGCGAGGAGCACGAGCGGACATTCCATCGCTCGGGAGAAGCGTGTTTCGGCGTCTCGCCGTAACGGGGCGCCCGTTACATGCCTCCTCTCATCCGTTGTCTGCCGCTCTATCTTTTCACTTTCGGCGGCCGCGTCTCGTGATCTTCCAGGCTTCGTCAGTATAAATGAGGCTATGGTAAACTATTATAAAAACATATGCGAAGTTCAGGAGCGTGTTAAAAGCTTTCGCTAGGTGGCGCAAGCCACCGCCCGATTAAAAGATCCAGCTGTAATCTATCCACCCGTTAAAGGTCCAATCAAGCAGCTCTAAACGTCCATCGTCACGGCACTTGTTTTTGTGGGCTTGCTATCAACAGCCAAACCAATCACGCGGAGGAGAAAGCACAGAAATAGCAAACGCACGAAGACCGTGAGCGCCGTGACGTAGCACTTTTGGTTTATTGGCTTTTATCGGGTCAAAGCGTCGGCTGCGCTCGGACTTAAAAAAGAGATTAACGCTGCAACCACGGCCCTCTGGCAAAGTCTACCGCTCCATCTTTCTGGTCACAGCGAGCACGTGGCACACTTGGAAATCCTACTCGCATACGAAACACGTTCTTTGTCTTGGCGAACCAAATGTTTAATAAAAGAGCAACTGCAGCAAGTCGAAATTATCGCAGTGTCACCAGTCAAGTAGAATAATCGGTGTGATTCCTCCCGTCGAATAGAGATGTCGCCACTCCAACAAAAAACTGAAAAATCTTTCCGCGCCCCTGGTGGTAAACGGCCATACGTTTCTTCGGGACGATTGGACAGAATCAGTGCTGAGCCATCTCAGCTCTGCACGCGCGGTTGTTGAGTGTTACTGTTACGCCCAAGCTGAACGCGTGCGTGCTTTGTCTAATTCTAACCTGACGTCCCGACGAATCGTTGCCAGAACCTAGTGATATTGACAGGCCCTTTGTCTCGTGCGAGTCAGGTGAGTGCAGCCTCCTTTTTGCTCTATCGGGGATCATCTTCATTTGGCAATTACCGGGACAAGAAGCGCAAGGCGTCGATGCCTAGCGTCCAGCACGCGTTCTTTGCTTTCCGTCGTGCTTTGGTTGCGTATGCACTTTCGACGCTCAGGAGCCAGCCAAGTGTTATCGAAGGCAGGAAGCTAGTCCTGGAGGCAGGACCGAATGTCCTCTATAAAGCTATTGTCCCGTAGGTGACTGTAGTTTTGCCCATCATCTGCCGTCCTAAAGGTTGCCCTCCCAGAAGTGTCCCGTGGTGAGAACTCGGTGCCTTGTCGCTCCTTGTTCCACGATGATATACCGCGTGTTCCTGGCGGTTACGTTCTTTTTGAGCATTGGCGATCGCATCTCCCATCATTTTGCACTGTGCTTCGAGGATTGCGTAGTTCTCTTTGATCGTCTTTCTCGGTCGACAGCAAATTAGCGGCTCTGCAAGAAAACTTACCTGGGTTGCCAAATATCGGGGGCATGCAACTACCGATTTTCGCAACGTAATATACAGTGTGAGGTTGCAGTGATAATGTAGGCTCGCAAATTTAACACCCGTAAAAAAGAGCAGCACTGTTTCATCCGGGAAACTACGAACGGGGCGCTTATCGCACTCCTCTGCATGGAATAAAGAAATATGAAAGGTAAGCATTTCTTCGTTGAGAAAAAAGGGGCGAAGCTGTCTGCATCGTCTGGTAGACCGTAACTGGTAGAGTCGGGGGAAAATAGGATAACGTCCAAGCGAGCGAGTGGCTTCAAACGCACGCGGTGCTGAGAAAAACAGCTCAACTACGATGAGGATGTGCCGAGAAACTGAGAAGAGCGCGCGGGGGAGGAAAGCAGAACGCCGAGGTTTTGGTTGGAATGATTAGTTACTAGCTGCCTTGTCTCCATTGCGCTCGTCAAATACGTTCGAATGCGAGAGCCAAACACTGGACGCCGCGGCGTTTCGCGTTCTATAACGCGTTACACCAGTGCAGTGGCGACAAAGGCTGCCTTTGAATGCACTGCCATAGCCTCCTATACACTGGCAGATCGCCGCGAGAAGCGGCCACCGAAATGGAAAAGGTGGAGCGGCAAATAAACAGATGAGGAGAGCCACGTGACTGGCGCCCCGCTGCGGCGAGACGCCGAAACACACTTCTCCCGAGCGAACAAGCGTGTTTCGGGTCCTAGCCGCTGCAAAAGCTGTGCGCTGACGTCCAGGTTCCCCGGGAAATGGTTTTTTGATGCTGCTACCAGATCCTCGCGCTCCAAATCTGCAACCGGGCACTCTATGGCCGTGTCGTCGAACTGCCAGGCTTTGTGAGTAGAGAAAAGGCTATGGCACTGCACTCTTGCGTTCTAACGCATTCAAAGTGTGAAGTGGATACAAAGGCGGTTAGCTTTAGGTTACGTGCTAATCATTCCAACCAGAGCTCGCCGTTCTGGGCTGAGTTCCAAATCTTACCCAAATGGATCCGAGTTACTCCGGCGGGTCGTGTCACGTGGCGAGACAGAACGACGATGGAAGCGGGTAAGTTTTCGAGCGCCAAGGCTCAAAAACCCTGGAGTAAGATGGAGTAAATTTTGGAACGCAGCCCGGATGTGCTCTCGTTTCCGCAACTCCCTCAATATCTCGGCGCACGGTAGGTGCCTGAAAGGCGCGCCGAATGGTGCGTTTAGCGCCCTATTCCGCCCATGCAACGGAAGTGATCTCCAAGTGGCAACCAATGACGTCACAAAAGCCAAGGTGTCATGCTGTCGGTTGTCGTGATCCTGGCGGTTGTGTCGTAGAAATGATGGTGAAAAGCACGAGCGAAGGCCAATGTCGCTGTCGTCACAGCGTCCAAACTCCTGGCTGACAAAGCTTCTGATTTCACTATGTTGAATTAATTTGAGGCTGGGGTAGAGAAAAAAGAAACGTCAACACGTTGAAGAGGCAGAAAATAGACAGGACGACGTCTTAAGAAAAGTTTTCTGGCTGGTGAGGTAGAAGCAGCCGGAATGCTGAAGAGAGGAGGAGGTTTCCTCCTCTCCTTTCAAGCATTCCGGCCACTTCCACTTCCCCTACCCTCCTTTACCTCGAAAACCTTTCTTAACCTGTAACTGACTACTATAACAAGTTTATTTAAACATGATTCTAAACCTGAGACTGGGGCAAAAAAGAGAACACGACAGAAGGTAGTAAAAGAGGAGGCAAGTTGAGACGTTGCCTCCTCTTTTACTACCTTCTGTCGTGTTCTCTTTTCTGCCCCAGTCTCAGGTTTACAATCATGTTCAACTTACACCAGCTCGCCTGCACTCTGACTATTTTTTTAAAGTTTATTTAGTCCACCTCCTTATATAGTCCATATCTCAAACTCATCTCCACCAACGCAAAAGGACGAAGTCTGTACATGTCAAGCGCCACAGTCTTTATCACAAAATGTAAGACTGTGGACAACCTACAGGTCGACGCGATAAGGCAACATCCATCCTCCTTCAAATCTGAACAAAAGGATCTCTTCCCCTTCAAATCTAAACACAGATCCCACTTCTGATTCAGAAATAGCCCTCTCCATCTTCTACAAAAAAAAAAAGGAAACATTAACACTGAAACGAGCAAAAAAAAATTTCAGCCTTTCCATTCTGGTGAAAAAGGAAGTGGACGGCCGCAAGTCGGCAAGCCAGAGCGGAAAGGCTGACGCCATCTATGAGCGACGGCAGCAACCAGATGCTTGGCTTGCCGCCGTCGCTCACAGATGGCGGTAGGTGTCCAGAGTTTGGTGTCTTCATTTCTTTACGGGGGACACGATCCTGCGGAAACTAGCACTTAACAGCTCCACTGCAATAACCTCCTTCATGACGTCCTTTGTCGCTTGAGTGGCCGTGAACTAGAGGAGGGGTAGTGAGTAGGGGTGTCGCGAACCGGCCGAGGTTCGAGTTCGACCCGGTTCGACTTTTTCGAACTTTTAGTGCAAATTTCGACGACCTTTGTATTGAGGTTCGACTCGTGTGCGCATGCGCGACAGGCTGGCCAGTTGGCTTCGGATTGGATGGTGATGGCTAAGGAATGAATTAAGGGCAGCGCTCATTGGTTATTTCAATTAATACAGTATAAACGATTAAGTTATTAACTTCTTCAGAGATTAGACTTAGTTTCTCTTAATTGCAGCTGTTCACAAAATTAAA